CCTTCATCACCCTGCGCTCATCCCTCTCCACATACCTTCATCCCCCCCCTCTGCACACCTTCATCCCTTTCCACACACCTTCATTGTCCTCTGCACACCCTCATGCCCTGTCACCCACTTTCATCCCCCTCCCCATCGCCATCTTCACACCGTCATCCCCCTCCAAACACCTTCATGCCCCTCCTCAGCCCCCCACACCCCTCCAGCATGCAGATTCCCGTCTGTCCTGGACCCCCCACTCCACTCCATGGTACCCAGGATGGGGATCTCAGCCCACGCGGTTGTGATTTCCCAAGGGAACCCAGCCAGGAGCCAGGCCGCGGTCATTTCCTCGGAGCGAGCCGATGGGTGGTAACGTGCTAAGCCGCAGCCGGCTGATCACATGTGAGTCCCTGGCCACAACCCAGCCCGACTGTTGGGAACCGTGGCCCCAATATGGGCAACGTGTGGCAGAAATCCCGGTCCTGCCGGCCATGGGGTCTGGCGCGCATTGAGGACCTGTGTCAATGTACCCAAACCCCATAGAGTTAAATCTGGGAGAGGGATCCTCCTGGTGCCCTGCTTGAAGAAGGGATGCTCTTTGCATCCCATCCCGTCTAGAAACATATTTTTCTAATTTTCATGCCGAGCTTGGTTGTATTCAAGCATTTCGGGACAAGACAGCCAACGCTGCAGCCCATAAAGCCACGATGTCTGAAGCATCCAGCACATTCAGCAATCGTGTGTGATTAATAAAGCCATATCACATTCTTCCACCCTTGGCCTGGTGCTAACTTGTAAGAAATCTGGACCAAAAACTGCAACAAAATGGCTGCTATTCTCCAAGGGCTGTTCGGAGCACTCGTTACTCATCCCTTACTTGGGCAAAAATGACATTGACTGCTCCTGGAGATGACAGGCTTAATTGAGTTCAATAGGAGTTTAGGCTGAGTAAGGCATGAGCAAACAAGCATGCATTAGCCCATGAATAAAAGCCTGATCTGCAAACATTTAGGAACACATGTAACACTGCGCAGGGGAGTACTGAGGGGGTCACCACTGCGCCGGGCCTGCCAGGCACGCAGAGGTCAGGCTTCAGCTCGGTTACAGTACCAGACCCAACCGCTGGCGATACCGGGATGAGCTTGTTCTGGAGCACGGCGATTCAAGCCCAGCTCGGTGGTTTGTTTTAGTCCTGCCTCTTAATTTTTTTTTTTTTTTTCTCCTCCTTCAGAAGTCCGTAATCCTTGTTTCTGCTATTCTTCGTCCACTGGTGGGAACAGCAACTTCCTTTCCCAAATTATAATATAAAAGAGCTGCAGGCAGCAATGCCATAAATAATATTTTCTTATGGCCAGAACATCCAAGTCTAGGCAAGACACCAAGAACAGCTACAACATTGTAAAACTCCAACACTTCTCCAGAATGGATTCACTAATTAAAAAATTATTCCTTTTTAAAAGCAGTTGAAAAATATTGGCTTGCCCATTACTGCCTGTTGCTTACTGAGTCGGGAAAGAGCCCATCCTGCAAACCCGCAGCCCAGCTTACCAGCCACGAGTCTGCCTTCTCCCTAAAAATTGTCACCAAAATAAATACACAGGGAGGGGAAGGGGAGAGAAAAACACTCTGCCATGATCACGTCTTTAATTAATTAGTGTATCAGCACTTCAAAGCACGGATCGAGAGCCCCCGAGGCCGAGGCAACGTTCTCCGCCGGGCATGGCACTTGCCAGGAACCAAACAGCTCCGGCCCTTCTACTGCCAGGCGAGGAGTTTCCCAGCACTGGGCTTCCCTCCCGTACCTGCCAGGATGCAGCCAGCCCTCTCACTCCACAGGCTGCCCAGCTGATGGAGCATTTGCCTTTCAGAGCCCCATAGAAATACCCCACAGCCTCCCCTAAGAGGGTTGAGCCCATGGGCTGAGCCCATGTTCGGGGTTGGGCGCGTGGAGCCCCTCAAGCCTCAGGGGTCTGGGGCAAAGGGAGAAGCGAGTGGTCGCAGAAGAGCCCCCCCACTTCCATCCTCCTGCTCAGCCCTGGACCAGCATCTTTCCAGTCATCGGTGCGGGATAGAGATGCCAGCAACCACCACCTGTGAGAGCCAACGGCACCGCAGTGACATTGGTCCTAGCTAGGATGTGGCACTCAGAATCAAGGTGGGATCTTTTTCTTCTTCCTCCCCTTTGCCCTATAAACATCTTTGCAAAAATAGAATGCATTTCCCAGGAGGTTCCCTTGACAAGTTGCTGACAGTTACCTCCGGCCACTGGCCATACTCGTGCTCCTGCATAAGTGCTTTGTGGGGTTAAATCCATCCTTGCACCACCAAGCCTAACACCACCCCCCTAAAAGGAAGCTTCAGAAACCTCAAAGTCTCATGCTGTGGGGAAAACATCATCCCTAGGGATTGAGAAAACCCTTTGCTCCAAGGAAGACACAGACTTTGGGCTCAAACCCCGTTGATAAGCCTCCTTCTATTTTTTTTTTTTTTTTTTTTTTTTTGATCTTTTCTTGCAGCAAGCATTCCTTTCACACCCACGCACACCCCAGCATCCTCAGCCATTGGTCTGCCGGCGCATCCGTCACACTTTCCATCGGCCAAAGTAGATACACATTTCAACTGCTTCCATTCGTCGTCTCCTCTGGTGTTAACAGCCAGCGCAAACAAAGGGCCCGAATATCCATCGCCCTATTAAATTGTTTTCATTTGTTTCTTGTGCCACAGTTGGTTTGGGTTAGAGGGTTTGTGTAAGTGATTTGGGGTGGGCGGCTGGTACAGTAACCGTGTTCTGGGATGGGGTGGCATCGTGTTGGATGCCTATGGCAGATTTTTTTGCTCCATGTGGGCTGCAGGCTGGGAATCCAAGAGGATTGCAAGCAACAACAGGCAACATGGAGATGTTTTGGGTGCAGTGAGGGAGAAAATCCCCCAGGAGCGGCTGGGATAATGGCAGCTCATGCTCCAGCAAGAGCTTGGGGAACCCAAACCCCTCTCTCTCACCCTACTTTGACTTTTCTGTTTCCACTGGAAGAAACGAGGACAAGTGTTAGTTCAACTGTTAGCTGAGCTTTTCCCGATTTCAAACAGATGTTGGATTCGTGGCTGGATTTGGGCGGAAAGCTCTTGCTTTCCCCACATTTGCTGGCCCTGTCTAGCCAGGGGATGCTGGCCTTGAACCACGGTGGCTGATTCTCCCTTTAGCTCACAAGAAGGTCTCTGACCTTGCCATGTGGGTAAGGGACAATGTTCCACACCAGCCCGTTGTCCTCAAGCTGGCCACCTCCATCTGCCCCCCACCGTGAGTGTCGGCCAATGAATCACAGAGCCCAGATTCATACAGCTGATGGGAAAACCTCAGCTCCATCTGCAAAGCCACTGGGGCAGATGTTCACCAGCGGTCCAGCTGCAGCTCGTGGTCCCACTGTCAGTCATCTGTCCCAGCCCCTCACAGGGACGGGCTTGGGCCACGGCAGCGTTGCAACACTGCCCAGCGAGGACAAGCATCCCTTCTGCACAACTGCATCTGTCTCATCCATGTCCTGCCCCTCAGCCTTTCTGCTCTGGCTACCTCTCACAGCATTAACTTAGGGGACTCGGATCACCCCCAGGATGTGGGAAAGACCTGTATGTGTCCTGGGAAGGGGACTCCGAATTGTATCAGCCCCCTGGGACCAGTGCATGAGCTGAGCAGGTGAGAGGAGCGTTATCAGGAAGTCAATGACGGTGTTTCGGGGCACCTTCATTCACTGAATTAATCACTGAATTAATCAGATTTGTGACTGTGCATGCAGCCAAATCCTCATCCCACAAAGGTGGGTTTGTGCTGGAAATGGGGGGCATGGGTTGCCCCACGCCCCCTGAGCTGCCTCTCTCCAGCACTTCCCCTTCCCAAAGACTCCCTGCAGCCCCCTGTGACACCCCACGGATCTGTGCCATGGGGTGCCACCTCCCATCCACCACCTCTCCATGAGCAGGGAGCACCAGTGGGGCCAGTCCCAGCAGCAGGGACACCCAAGGTGTGCAGGGCTCTGAGAGACCACCAGCTCGGTGGGATCTGGAGGGACGCGGCAGAGCTGCTGGTGAGCAGCGGGGGCATGGGGGGCTTGGCGGGGCCTGTCTGGGCACTGAGTGTGACTCAGTGCCGCACCACACCTCGTGAGTCACCCCGGCGCTTCCTGGTGCACCCAGAGTTTTCCCTTCCAGGTCCCTCCTGGTGGTACTGACCCAGCCTGGCCCCGTGCCGGCAAGGCCAACGCTGCCTCACATGGCCTCTGGCCTTCCTCCACCAGCACCAGCTTCCCTCGGCACGTGCCCACGTGCTGCCGGTGCTCTGGGTGCCAGGCTGCTCCTTAGGGACCCAAATCCCCAAAGGCTTCCAGGCAGCAGGGTTAGACCCAGTGGGTGGAGAGCCTGGGGCGTGCAAAGACACTGCAGGGGCTTGCACCAGGGCAAAATGGGGCAAAACAAGGGTTTGGTGCCCAGTGGGCATCAAACTGTGCAAGGGATCCCTCACAAGGAGCTTGGACAGAGCCTGGCCACGTGTGGGCTCTGTGCACACTCACAGGGGGGTGAGGGAATGCAAACCAAGGAGACCCCAACCCCTCTCTGACTGAGAGACTGAGCTACAAAATACAAACCAGCACCTAAAAAAAAAAAAAAAAGAGGGGGGTGGGGGGATGAATTTCCAGGATCCAAGTTCAAGAAACATCCCAAAGGATTGAGATTGGAATTGCAGTCAGTCTCATCTGCTAAGTATATTCCGGACCTGACTCTGCCATCTGCCCCAGACCAGCGGTCTATCCCCAATTTGCCTGGAGAGGGTGACCACAGCTGGATGAGCGTCCCACAGTGCTCTGCAAGTCACCGTGCACCTCAAGCCACCCCAGGAGAGGCTGTAATCGCAAGCATTCACTGGGCAGAAGGTGGAAACGGAGGGAGTGGAGCAGGACAGGGATGCAGGAGCATCCACCAGGCACCGGCACACGGTCCTGGCAGCTCCGGCAGCCCCGGCACCGGCGCTATTCGCAGGCCAGCTTCCCGTCGAAGCTGGAGAGAGCGATGGCGAAGGCCTGCACAGCGCAGAGCGGGTAGTTGTAGTCCATGGTGAAGGCGTCATCTGCCACGCGCCCAAACTGCATCACGATGTAGTCGGCTGCAGGAGAGGGGGTGAGTGGCTGGGATGTCACCTGCACATCCATCCTGCCCTTTTCCCAGGGGACCCACGCAGAAGCATCCCAAAGAAGCCATCCCTCCCTCTACCAAGCTCTGCCTGCAGCTCGTGCACCAGCTGTACCGTACCGCACCGCAGTGCATGTTACCAAAAAGCATCATTTTCCCATTGCACTGTCCAGCACGGGCCCACAGCACCTTTCAGTCCCCCCAGCACCCCTCCCCAGGAGGCTGCAGCTCCCCAAGGGACAGGGACCCCACTCACCCCCCCCATGGGACTGCTGCTACCAGAGGGCGGGTGACAGGAAATCTGTAAAAATAACCAGGGGCCCCCGAGAGGTTTTTTCTGTCCCGTAACCCAACACCCCAGAGGCTGAGGGCTTCTGACTGCACTGGACAGGTGACAAACGGCCACGTCCGGCCACTCGCGCGGGGACAGAGCTGCTGCCACCCCCGAGGCACTGTCCCCGAGGCGTGATGCACCCCAGGGCGAGCCCACCGGCAACGTGGCGTGTGTGCCGGGGGTGATGCTCTGGGGTGAGTGGGTGGCTGTAGCATGTTGGGGGGACTCAGCGCCCCACAGGATTTGATCCTTGCCCTAATCTGCCTGGCAACAGGTGACCCACGCACTCCCTCTGCC